TTTTTTTTGTGGTGCTTGGAATTGAACCTAGGGCCTTGCCTGGCAAGCGCTCTACCACTGAGCCACATCCCCAGCCCCCAGCAATGTATTTTAAAAGCTCCAGCTGGTCCAGGCATGGTGGCACAGCCTGGAATCCCAGTGGCTGGGGAGGCTGAGGCAGGAGGATCACGAGTTCAAAGCCAGCCTCAGTAACTTAGTGAGCAACTCAGTGAGACTCTGTCTCTACATGAAATACAGAAATATAGGGGGCTGGGGTTGTGGCTCAGTGGTAGAGCACTTGCCTAGCATGTATGAGACCCTGGGTTTGATTCTTAGCACTGCATATAAATAAAATTTAAAGGGGGCGGGGGCTGGGGATGTGACTCAGTGGTTAAGCATCCCCACCCCTGGGTTCAATCCACAGTACCAAAAGAAAAAAATGTTTCCAGCTGGCCTGTAATCCCAGCCACTCAGGAGGCTGAGACAGAAAACCACAAATTCAAAGGCAGTCTCTGCAACTCACAAAACCCTGTCTCAAAATAAAAAATAAAAAGACCTGGGGATGTGGCTCAGTGATTAAGGGCCCCTGAATTCAATCCCTGGGAGAAAACAAACAGGAAGCCTCCAGCCAATGTGACAGATGCCAGGTCTGAGAACCACTGCCCCCAACAACTCACTCAGCCTCTACCCCCAGTGCAGACTCTAGGCACTCCTCGAGAACATCCCAAAGCCATGACGCAGGGTCTCTTGGTCAAAGTGAAACTCACCTCATCAAATGACTTGTGGGGGCGGATGACCATCTGGGATTCATAGGATCTGACCCTGACGAACTCTGGAGACTCCGGCACGCTGGGGTGCTGCACAGCACTGGAGGGGGAGCGAGGGAAAACAGGTCAGTGATGCCTATCCACAGACCCCAGGGAGCGCAGCCAAGGGCAGGCCCTGAGGAACCTGAAATAAACAGCATGCAGCTCACCAGGCCTTGTCAAATCAACTCTCTTCCCCTTTAATTACCAACAGTAAGGAACTGAAGAAATGTTTAATTAACAGCTTGCATCCCTTCAATCTTCCTAGCTAGTCACAGCCCCTCCTCTTTCAGCTGGGAGGGCAGGACACTGGCTGTCCCTGGTAAGCCTGCAGGAGACTCGCCAGGGCACTAAGGGCAGGCTTACAGGTCTATACAAGCAACACTCGTGGCTGAAGAACTCGCCAAGGGCCACAGCAGCCATACATACCGTGACACCAACACCATGACATTGTTCTCCTGATCCACACTGTATCGCCGAACATACACGTAATCCCGAGAGTACATTGGGTACTAAAGAAGGGAGGGGCAGGATTAGCACTTGGTACCCCGCAGATTTAACAGAAGTAAAACCAGAAGGAAAATACTCACAGGAAAATGGGTTACCCAGTGGAGAACCTCAGAACCACTGACCACGTCCCTCTCGATCACCTCCAGCTTGATCACTAGGGCATCCCACTTCTTCCTGTACTCTGTGTCCAGCTGTGAAAGACAAGACCATGAAGACCCAAGACAATCCAAAGCAAAAATGCAGACGGCCTCTCCAGATGCCTGGACTGGACCTCTGACCCAAGGGCCCTATTATAAAACACAGACCTAACTGATGGGGCCTAAGCGTGGGAGGCACGGCTCTGGTTACTACATAGTCTTCCAAAGTCCTTTCACGTGTATGAAAGGGAATCTTAAAAGGCAAGCCCCAGAAAAATATAAGGAAAAAAAATATTGTAACAGACATGTCTGGGAAAATATAGTATATGCGATGACAGAAACATGAATTCTAAACAGGTTTAAACAGACAAAAACTCTCAATATGAGTAGACACCTCACACAAAGAAAACCAAAGTAGCATATTTTTTTTTTTTTTAATTTCTGGCATCACTAGTAACTAAGAAATTTCAAAGACAGATATCCAAACTAACAAAAATGCAATACAAACTGACAAAATTCAGTGCTTAGGAGAAAATGCACTTGCATATGAACAGGGGGTATTATAATCAACAAACTAGCAACTGGTCTGGCAAAACAAGTAAAAATACCTATGTAGAACTCTTCTGTTTGAACACTCAAGGATAAAAGCAGTCCTTGAACATATTCTTTATTTTTATTAAGTAAATATATTCACGAGACTATTTCAGATTAAAGGAAGTTAAAGACACCTAACAACTAAATGGAATCCTAACTGGATCTATACTGAATAGACATGATTGGGTCAACTGATAAAACCAAAATACAAACACAGATTACATTGAAGTGTGCTGCACCAATGCTGAATTTACTGACATGGTTAGTTAGAAGAATATGTCTAGTTTCAGGAAATACTCACTAAAGAATTTAGGGACAGAGGACCATGATATGTTTAATTTGCCCTCAAAATGTTTAGGAAAAAAACAATAAAGGCTTGTGAAATATTAGAGTATCTTCATCAACCCTTCTATTTGATCTTCTCAAACAGTCTGAGGGTGGGTGGGCTTTAGGCAAAAATCAGTCCCACCCTCACAGGACAGATAGAGAAATTACAAGTCAAATGTTCCCCCAGATGCTATATGCTAAGGAATAAGAAGCACAGACACAGATGGATACCCCAAATCCAACATCATCAAATCAAAGAAATCATTCACGGGGACAGTAGTAAATGGCTTGTTAGGAAGCTCTGAAATCCACAGCAAAAAATTAACTCACCTGAACATTGAAGAACTGCCGGGGTGTCACATCTGTGTAGGTTCCAAAAACTAGGATGACAAGAAAAAATAAAGGATGCTTGCTGAGCTCCTGGCCCCATTCCTATCACTACCGGCATTTCAATTCTAGAGTACTGAGAGCTCCTGAAGGCAGCTTCAGAAAGTAGAAGCAAGGCGGGGGCAGCAAAGCCAAAGATGCCATGTGTCAAGGAAGACACCGGGAGAGGAAAACCACCAACAGAAAGCCATGGTAAATTTCCTGAGAAACCACCAGAACAGAATAGTTTAGAAAAACATGAGGCCCCAAGTCCCAAGCACCTGGGCACCCAGGCACACACTTCAAAGGCAGCACGCCCAGCTCACCTCGGTACTGGTAAAGATGGCTGCCTTCAATTGGGCGCCGCCACAGTTTGAAGTGCTTCTTATCCATCACCATCTCCCATGGCTGTTCCTTGTCCTTCAACTCTTCATTCCCTTCTGTTTGGGATTTTGATTCTGGAGGGTGGCGCTCGACTCCTGAGCCCTGAAATATATTTGAGACTTCCTCCAACCGTTTCATCTCATTAATGGATCTGCAAAAAACAAAAACAGATCCGGTGCAGGTGGTCAGTCAGCCCTGTGAAATGAAATGTCCACAAAGAGACCTGCAAAGGAATGGTGTGGGTTTAATACAGTACAGTGTGGTGAATAAAAAAATCAGTTCCTGTGCTGGATGCCACTCATTAACCCAAATAACATAGTATTTAATCAGTACCCACTTCTACTTATATAAAATGGCAAGAATAGTACCTACCTCAAGATTGGGAATAAAGATTATCAACAAATTTATATATGAAGTGCTTAAGACCTAGTACATTATTAACCTTCAACATCCGCTATTAAAGTCTTTGACTACAGCTGGGAGTGGTGGTACTCACTGTAATCCCAGTGACTTGGGAGGCTGAGGCAGGAGGATTGTAAATTCAAGGCCAACCCCAGAAACTTCACAAGATTCTCAGCAACTGAGAGCGAGCTTGTCCCCCCCCCCCAAAAAAAAATGTGATGTGGCTCAGTGGTTAAGTGCCCACAGGCTCAATCCCCAGTACAAACTAAATAAATAAATAAAGTCCATGATTGTGAAATGTCATTTGGGACCTTTACAAAAGGCATCACCACTATCTAAGTGCAGAACATTTCCATCAGCCAAAAGAAACTGTACCATCACCAGTCCCTTCCCATTCCTGCCTCCCTTCACTTTCTGTACGGATTTGCTTATTCTGGGCATTTCAAATAAATGAGGTCACATAATAATGGGTTTTTGTATCTGGCTTCTTTCTCTTGGCATATTTTCAAGTTTCATCCATGAAAGTGTACTTTATTCCTTTTATGATTAAATAATGTTCCATCATAGGAATATATCACCTTTTGTTTATCAGGTAATAGAAACTTGGTTTCTACCTTCTGGCTATTACAAATAATGCTGCTAAGAACATTTATATCTAAGTTTTTGTATAAACATGTTTTTAATTCTCTTGGGAAGATTCCTAGGAGTGAATGTGCTAAGTCATGGTAACTCAATGCTTCACTTTTTGAGGAGCTGCCAAACTATTTCCACAGCAGCTGCACCACTTTATATTCCTAGCACTATTGTATGAAGATCCCAACTGCTCCACACCCTTGCCAACATTTATTATCATCCTTTTTTTTTTTTTTATTCCAGCCATACTAGTGGGCATGAAGTGATATCTCAGTGTGGTTTGAACTGATACAATTGCTAATGACTAATGATGTTGGTTACCTTTTCATAAGCTCACTGGCCACTTGTGCATTCCATGGAGAAATACCTCTATTGAAATTCTCTGTTTTATCAGATTGTCTTTTTTTTTTTTTTGGTACCTTTTTATTTTTTGAGACAGGGCCTCAGTAGGTTGCTGAGGCTGACGAACTTGCAAACTTCCTGCCTCAGACTCTCAAACCACTCGGCTTACAGGTGGACAATAATACCTTATCAGAATAAATATAAATATTTTCTTTCTTCCTGTGGATCATAACTTTCTTGTATCTTTTGATGATAAAGGTTTTTAATTTTTATGAAGTCTAACTTGTTTTTTCTTTGATTACTAATGTTTTGGTATTACATCTAAGAAATCACTGCCTACTCCAACATCACAAAGACTGATGCCTAAATTTTCATCTAAGAGTTTTAAAATTTTAGCTTACATTATGGTATTCGACCCATTTGAGTTAATTTTTGTGTACGGCATAAGGCAGGGGTCTAAATTCATTTTCTTGCATATGCCTCTTCAGTTAGCCCAGCCCTACTTCTTTCCCCATTGACCTGTCTTGATACCCTTGTTGAACCAACTGACCAAAAATATAAAGGTTCATTTCTGAACTTTCAATTTTATTCCAACACTCTACATGTCTATCCTAATACCAGTACCACAGTGTCTTCATTGTGGTAGCTCTGAAGTTTTGAAGTAAGGAGAGTGAGTCCCCCAAATTTTGCTCTTCTCCTTCAAAAGTGTTTAAGTTATTCTGAGTCCCTTTCATTTCCATGAGTATAACTGGCATGCCAATTTCTATAAAATATCCAACTACGATTTTGATAAGAACTATACTGAACATGTAGACTGATTTGGGATAGTAATTCCATCTTAATAATATCCATGAATACAGGCTGTCTTTCCACTTATTCATGTTTTTTCTTTTTCTTTTTGAGAAGGTTCTTGCTATATTGCCCACACGGGCCTTGAACTCCTGGGCTCAACCAATCCTTCTGTCCCAGCCTCTAGAGCAAATGGTTGGTTTATAGGTGTACACCACTGTGACCAATCTATTTTATGTCTTTATAAAATTTCTTCCAAGGATGTTTTATAATTTTCATTGTAAAAGCCTTATGTTTCTTTTGTTAAATTTATTCCTAAATATTTTCTTTTTGAAACTGTTGTAAATGGAATTTTCTTACTTTCATTTTCAGATTGCTCCTCTGAACAATGTATAAAAATGTGATTTGGGGGAGCTAGAGTTGTGGCTTGGCGGTATAGAGATCACCTAGCACATGTGAGGTGATGGGCGCGATTCTCAGCACCACATAAAAATGGATAAATAAAATAAAGGTATGTATCCAACTACAACTAAAAAATATATTTTTTAAATGTGATTTTTGTATACAGATCTTATATCCTGCAAACTTATTAGCTGTCATAGTTTATTAGCTTTAACAGTTTTTTGTGGATTCTTTAATATTTTGTACACATAAAATCACATAAGAAAAAAAAGTAAAAACATTTTTTAAAATATAATATAAGCTGCAAATAGTTTTAGTGCTTCCTTTCCAGTCGGGATGCCTGCTTTCTCCTTCTCTTGCCTAATTCCCATGGCTACAGCCTGTAACACTCTCCTGTAGCACCCTGTTGAAAACAAGGGCTAGCACAGGTCTTGTTCCCCACCTTCTCACCATCAACTTGCTGCTGGCTAGTTTTTACTGATGCCCTTTATCAGTTTGAGGATACTCCCTTCTATTCCCAGGCTGAAAGGGGATTCTGTTTTTTTAAATCCTGAAGTGAGGTTGGATTTGTCAAATGCTTTTGCTACATTTATTCAGATGACCATGTGGCTTTTGTCCTTTCTTCTTTGCTTGGATAAATCCCACTTGTTCATGAATACAATCCTTTTTATGTTACGAGGCTTGGTTTGTCAGTATTTTGTTCAGGACTGCTTACATTTCTAAAATATACGCAACAGTACCAGATATCATGCTATGAATCACTGTATTTCCCTAGAGGCATATACACATGTACAATATATACACATAAGGACAAAGACGGGGATGACACACAGCAAACTAAGACAATGGTTTCATCTAGCGGAAAAAGGAGAGTATGTTAGAAAAAAATACAGAAGAAAATTTGTGGTATCTATGATATTTTGTTTCTTAAATGTAACATTTGTTTTATTTTTTAACACTTTTTATGTATCTGAGCCACTTTATAATAATAATTTTTTTAAGAGAGAATTTTTTAATATTTATTTTTTAGTTTTCGGCAGACACAACATCTTTGTTTGTATGTGGTGCTGAGGATCGAACCTGGGCTGCACGCGCTACCGCTTGAGCCACATCCCCAGCCCTATAATAATAATTTTTTTTTTAAAAGTTTGGCTACTATTTTAAGCAAATCACAGACAGGAAAGAAAAATTGGTGTGATTCAGACTGAGGAAGACCTCAAACACTGATACACTGAAATGACTTTTCATTCCTCTCCCAAGTATCAAATGAAACAAGGCTGAAGGGTAATTTTAAGGCAGAATTAACCATATAAATTTACTTTTGTTTTTAATGCCTTCATTKTATTTATTTATTTTTATAAAGCGCTGAGGGTCCAACCCAGTGCCTCAAAAGTGCCAGGCAAGCGCTCTACCACTGAGTCATAACCCCAGCCCCATATAGTTTACTTTTTATTCCCCTATAGAGACAATATCACATTGCACTATAGTTAATCTATCTTTATATCACCTTGTTGATAAAACTATGAATTTCCTAAGGGTAAGGAATCTTTTTCCTAACTGTAGTTCCAGCTCCTAGCATCTGTTTTGTAAATAATAAACACTCAACAAATGCTTACTGAATAAATTAAGTAAATGAAGAAAAGACAGAAGTAGATCTCACTAATAAAAATTACATTAATATAGTTTTGGGGGGGATTTTGAAGCGGGATCTCACTATGTTGCCCACAGTGGCCTCAAACTCACAATCCTCTTGCCTCAGCCTCCCAAGCAGCTGGGATTACAAGCAAGCACACCATGTCTGTAATAAATTGCTTTAAAAGCCAAAAATTACTGACAATCCAAGATTAAAACTTAGAGCAATCCAAAGTAATGCTGAGTCCATTTCTTTTCTTCTTTCTTTCTTTCCTTTTGGTACTGGAAATTGAACACAGGGGTGCATTACCACTGAGCTATAACTCTGTTGTTGTTGTTTTTTTTTCGTTGTTGTTGTTTTTGTTTTTGTTTTATGGGAGAGAGAGTATCACTAAGTAGCTGAGGGTCTCATAAAATGCTGAGATTGGCCTTGAACTTGTGATTGTCCTGCCTCCAGCTCCCAAGTCCTAGGATTACAGGCATGGACCACCACACCCAGTAGGACATTATTTCTTAAAATTCCAATTCACTTAATTTTAAACTTTTGACTTAGCTATTATGTTTTTTTGGGGGGGAGGGAGGTGGGGCCAGTGGGCAGGATACCAAGGATTGAACCCAGGGACAGAACCCAGGAACACTTAACCACTGAGCCACATCTCCAGTCCCTTTTTTTWATTTTGAGACAGGGTCTTGTTTAGGGCCTTGTTAATTTACCGAGACTAACTTTGAACTTGTGATCCCCCTGTCTCAGTGGCCAAGCAGCTGCGATKACAGGGGATTACGGTATGTGCCACCACGTTCAGCAGTATTTGTCATTTCTGACTGTCTGAAATCCCTCCATTTCTAGYCCCTAGCAGTTTAAGGGCAGCTCCTAATTTAAGTGAGGTTAATTAAAGACTTCTAGGGCTTTGGATCTTGAGGAAATAACCCAAAGGCACAAGATCTTTTGGA